CATGACTTTATTATTTTATTGATTCTTTAAACAGTTGGCTTTACTTGGGATATGAATGGTTTTACAGTGAACCATAACAGAGATGGTGATTATTGCATATAAATATTAAGGGATGTTAGGAACATAATACAATCAATAAGCTTCTCTTGCAGGTTTTCAAAATAATGAGCATGCGAATTGGTTTGTTTTTAATTATCTTTAGTAGAAAAATAGGTTGCACAGAATTCTCATTCAGATTTTTGCTTTGTGGTCCCGGGGATCAGTTCCAGTAACCCACACATGCTAGGTAGGCACTCTGCCATTGAGATAATTATATGAAAAGACACACATTTTCTGCATATATAACAGCATCTTATGCAAGAGCAATGGTCACTGAGGACCTCATTAAGAGTTACTCTCATCCTAGGCATAGTAATTCTATGAAACCACACTGGCAAGAAGCATACAAACACCACATTGTCTATTGAGCAAAGCACTTTCCCCGAATGCCCTATTCTTTAAACAACACTCTCATGGTGCCTTGGTGTTCATGTCTGTGAAATAAACTAGCTCTGTGCAATACAACAAGCGATGTAACTTCTTTTGCATTTTAAAAAGGTTGTGGCTCTGAGACATTTAAAAGAATTTAGCTGCATTGATAAGACTTTCAAAGGTTTATTAAGATAAGTATAAATGTGTGAATTTGCCAAATATTTATAGTTTTTTTTAAAATGTGTATACCAGTCTCTGTGTGGGGGCATGTGCACATGAGAGCAGTTGTCCAGGGAGGCCATAGACGGTTCTCGATCTCCTGGAGCTGACACTATAGTCAGTTGTGAGCCACTTAATTTGGGTGTTGGAAACTGAACTTTGGTCCATTGTAAGAGTAGCAAGGGCTCTTGACCACTGAGTTATCTCATCAAGACCATATTCACACTTCTGTAGTGGTTGCAATACTAATACAAGCATGAAATTTAACTATCACTCAGCTCCAGACATTCCTAAATAATCAGATGCTCTGCATTATGGAAGACCATGTCAAGGTAATGGCAGTTTCTTTCTGATTTTTTTTTTTTTTTTTTAAATATTTATTTATTTATTATGTATCCAATATTCTGTCTGTATGCCTGAAGGCCAGAAGAGGGCGCCAGATGGTTGTGAGCCACCATGTGGTTGCTGGGAATTGAACTCAGGACCTTTGGAAGAGCAGGCAATGCTCTTAACCACTGAGCCATCTCTCCAGCCCCTCTGATTTTTTTTTTGTCATTATAAAAAAAATCAGTCTTATAAAATAACTGGCTTCATTTTGATATTTTCATATATGTATATAATTTACTCCAATAGCATTCACTTTCTATACCGTCCCTAGGACCCTTCCTCCTATTGCCAGCCCTTCTCCTTCTCTAAATATTCCCCCTACAAACTTTCTTTTGAAAGTGTAGATTCTGCACATGAGAGGAAGCATGCCATATCAGCCTTCCCCAGGGTCTGGCTTATTTCACTTGAAGCGCAATCCAGTGTCGTCAGTTGTTTTCCTGTAAATGACATTTCGTTCTTCTTCTATGACCAGGCAGTGCTCTGCTGTGTGTGTATCCCACAGTTTCCTGACCCACCCATTTGTTGTCGGGCAGACAGACTAATCTTGTAACTTGGCTGTTATGTGTAGTATGTGGGTGATGTTTGTCAGTGATCAGAAAATAGGTGTCTTACAAAAATAGTTTTTATTTTAAAAGATTTTATTTATTTACTATGTATACATCGTTCTGTCTGCAGGCCAGAAGAGGGCGCCAGATCTCATTACAGATGGCTGTGAGCCACCGTGTGGTTGCTGGGAAACCTTTAACTTACATGCTTCATGGATGAACAACTCCAGACTGTTATTAAACTCTTTAGTCTAATGGCTTTTAAGTTTTTAATAATATCTGATCTATTGGGAGTGATTTAAACAACCCCAGGCAGAATCAGAACACAGGGGGAAAGATATCCCTCAGGTACCAAGTATCACCACCAAAAGCTTCAAAATCCCCGCAAAAGCAGACACCTCAGTCATGAAGTTCAGCTAAAAATAAGGACTACGGGCTGAGGAGATGGCTAAGTCCGTAACAATGCTTGCTGCCTAAGCAAGAGGACCTGACTTCAGACTCCAGCAGCTAATTGTAAAAGCCAGGTGTTTCTACACCAGCCTGTAAACTCCCACAGCAGGATATGGTTAGAAGGTCAACACAGGAGAATTGCTAGGGTTTGTTGACCAGATATTCTACCTAAAACATCACTATCTCAGCTGGGCAGTGGTGGCTCACGCCTTTTATCCCAACACTCGGGAGGCAGAGGCAGATGGATCTCTGTGAGTTTCAGGCCAGCTTGGTCTACAGGGCTAGTTCCAGGACAGGCTCCAAAGCTACACAGAGAAACTCTGCCTTGAAAAACCAACCAGAAAGCCAACCAAATAACAACAACAATAACAACCCCATCCCCCCAAAAATAACATTAGTTTCAGGTTTAGTGAAAGACCCTGCCTCAAGGCAGTGATTGAGCAGGGCATAAGGTATATTACTCTGGCTTCTGTTCATCCACACTGGTGTGCAGACTCCCTCTATCCTGTACACTCACATGTGCAGGATCCACATGTACAAAGAAGAACCAAGCTGGGTATGGTGGCAGACGCTTGAAATGCCAGCCTTAGGGGCATAAAAGCAGGAGGATCAGGTATTTAAGACTAGCCTTAGCTACATAATATGTTTGTGTTTGTGACCAGCCTGGGCTACACGAGCCCCTGTCCTAAAAAACAAACAAAGCCCAAACAAAAATACAAAATATAAGATCCCAGACCAGACAATGAACAGGAAGAAAAAAAAAAGGAGGGGTGGACAGAGAAAGAGTTCTGAAAAACAAGGGAATTTGGCAAAAGACAAATATCAGCCGATTTCAGGAAGGGCAAAGTAAATCTGAAACTGTAGCTAAAGTGCTCAGGACAGCAGAATAAACCTAACTCATTTTCTTTCCAGCAGCCCCAATCCTTTTGTTAGAGGCTGTGAGGCAAAAGCGAAAGTTACAGAGGGTCCGCGGAAATGGCTGGAAACTGTGTTAAGTCTGACTTTTATGAAGCCTGATCTGCTTCTCCTAGATAAGATTTAAGGTACTTGTTGCAAGTTGGATGAATTTGTGGACTGAATTCTCCGACCTTTATGTCCGGGCCTATGATAGAAATAGCCAAAGCATGTAAAGAATCTGAAGGTGTCTTACAGAGCGGGACTGTCCAATACGAATTCCTGTGATGATAGAATGTTGCTGGTTTTACTTATTACCTTTTGTCCGATATGGTTGTCATATTGGGCCTTTGGATACTAAGCATTTGAAATGTGCATTGTGCAACTGAGCAATTACATTTTCAATCGTTTTTCATTTTAACTAATTCAAATCTAAATATCCTTTTGTAACAAGGAGCTTCCATAATGCATAGTGCATTTCCCAGTCCTAATCGTCTCTTTTTAAACTTAAAAATTTTTATGTATATGGGTGCATATATGTCTGCCTATCCTCTGAATAAGGACCTGGGTGCCTGAAGAGGCTAGAAAAATGCATTGGACCCACAGGAACTGGAATTACAGTGAGTCACCACGTGGGTACTGGGTATCAAGTTTGGGTCCTGTAGAAGGGCAGCCAGTGCTCTTAACCTCTCAACCTCTCGTTAGCTCTATCACTATCCTTTAACTGAAGGCTTCTGACATTATTCCCCTACATTATTCTGAGTTTCCTGGACTTAAATACATACTTATATTTTTTTGTGAGGTGGGGTTTCCCTAAGTAGTCCAGGCTGACCTCAGACTTATACCTAAGATTATAGACATGTGCTATCATGCCTCACTTAAATACCACTTAGGACTTCTCAGTTGTCCATGAGAATGTGGTAACTATATAACTGGTTGCTCAAACTGATACCAAGTGAGGAAGGCTTGTAGTACTATGTACAGCTACAATTAGATGTGGGGCATAACCGGAGACCATCTGGCCTGAAAAGGAACCTCCATTTCTGTAGGACAATTAATCTTTGCTATACTTCGGGTTAGCTTGTGGATACAGATCATTTAAGCATCTTCTGGAGCATTATGTATATTTGTAATATCATGGTTTTCTTTACTCCCACCCACACTTACTGGTAAGTAATTTCTGCTTGCCCGGTGTTTCCCAATGAAACCACAGAGTCACATGTAACATCATGTAAAATGATCAACTCAAACTAGCAGCAAGTGATTAATTCACCAATATTGGAGGTTAGAGTGAATATCTGTACACACTGAGTTAGGGTGGCTATTTCAAGCCATTTCCTGGTTTCTTGGTAAGATATAGGACATGTCAAGCAAGAAAGCCAAACCAGTCCCCCAACACATACAAATAGATACAGGTTCCCCACAGGGATTAAGTCGGGAAGGCAGAATAAACAGCAACTTGTTCATCTACATTGTGAATGTTCCATATGTGTGTGAGGTTTAGTAAGTGTGAGCTGGAGCTAACATGGGTCCTCTCTTAGCTTTTTGCCAGTGTAGAAAAAGCAGATTAAGATTCCCTATGAACCATCACTGCAGAGTATCTCGGGCTTCCCCTGTTCAGAGCTCAATCTTATTTCAAGTAGCCTAGAGGGTTTTTCCTTTGGTACAAAATATGAAACATATGTCATCGATAAAGGCATAAAATAATTTAAAAAAAAAATCCAGTTGTACCCATAAACCCAATGTTCCCAAAGCAGCAAATACAGCACAGCATCCCGGTTCTCATGTCATCTCCCTGGTGTGGTCTGCGTTTTCAAATGCCACCCACCATCTCTAACATATCTCGTGATGAATGCAGCCCAGCTCCTTAATGAAGAATAAAAACACTTCATGAGTTAAAAAGGCATGTGGATGAACCCCAAACGGGAGATAGTTATTCCAGGAGACCTACCTGCTGGAAAGAGGTGGCAGCCACATAGAAATACAAATAATCAGAGACGTGCCAGGCTCATCTGGCTCATGGCTTTTACCCACCTGATGGCTCTAATAACAGTCTTAAGTGGTGGTGTGAGGTCCTCCACGGACACGTCACACTGGCATCCTTTCTCGTCATATACATCGTCGGTGCCCAGGGCTGTGTCAGCTGCAAGAGAAGATACCACTTAGCATGCTAGTTCCTGTTAATACATCTGGGGTCATTTGTCTCCTATAGAGAGTGGGGAGCCCATACAGACTGTGCCTATAAGCAGCTGTTGAGGTAGAAGGCCAGTCAATTGTAATCCCAAGTCTTCGCCTTGTCCTTCTACAACCTTAACCACCTTTTTCTTTTCTTTTTTTCTTTCTCGATTTGACAGAGATATTTTCTTAAGCTGCTTTCCACCTGGAGGAGGGCGGTGAGGAATTTGTGTTGATCCACCCGTGCTTTCTGCTTTGCTCCCTGGAAACTAATAGACATCATTTAAATTGCAGCTGTTTGGGGTTGAGAACACTGCCTTTGGACTGTTGATACGCCAGTCTGCCTAGACAGAGCTCAAATCCCATGACACTGGCCTCATTAGCTCTTATGCCAAACAAGTTATTTATGCAGCAGACTGAAGAAGGCTGACAACTTATTGCTTGCTGCTGGGCTGGCAATGGTGGGGTCATGAGAGCACTTGCTTAAGATAATGTAGTCAAAGCTGAGAGAAGACTAGTTTGCCTATGAAAATCAGTTCCACATAAACCAATCAGATTAACGTTTTGGTTAATTGTAACATTTGGAAAAGGAACAGGGCTACAATAAATACCATGTCATTGACACTTTATAAAGTTATAAATAATAAATTCACATCTTTATATTTTTATTTTCAGCAACAAAATATTAAGAACCAAGTAAATTCATGCATTGAGTGATAGCCTAAATATATACCGGAAGGCTACAAAGCTGTTAAAATTGATGTTGCAGACTAAGGACTAAGAAAATGTCATATTGTTAAAGAAAAATAATATGAGGTCAGGAATAATCTTAGTCTTCTTGCCTACTATATTTTCCCACAGTTTCTGCAATGAATATGTTTTAACTTTATAGCATAAAGTAAATAGAGAAATAAATACGCACTCGTGAGAAATGGGCAATAAAGACTGCTATTTGGTCCAAGCCTTGTTGAATGTTGACATGCATTACAAGCCTCACGCTGCTATGCTGTCTTTGCTCGGCAGCCTACTCTTTGCAGCGAATGGGAGGCATCTGCCATAGACTGTCCTGGTTTGACTCCAATCTGATAGGCTAGTGGAAGTTTATTCATCGAGATTTGTGCTTGTGCTGGGAATGCAATCACTACAGTATTTCATTCCATGAATAGTGGCTGAGTGTTTGGTCTATGCACTCTGTGCTGGAGTGGTAGTGGGTGGAGGTAGAGAAGGTGGGATTCGTCCTCATCTTCGTGAATGTTCCTAGATTTTCTTCGTGGTCCCTTTGCCAGTCATTCTCTCAAAGGAAGGAAGACAGTGATTAACTGCTGCGATGATAATGATAATGATGACTGTCGGAATTTATCCCCCAAATTTATGTGTTGAAACTTGGTTAGTAGTGTGATAGTAGGAGAAAGGGCATTTGGGAGGTGATAGAGGCCACAGTGCTCAGGAATGGGCTTGGAAAATGTGTGACAGGACTAGGGGACCTTTTGTCACCAGATGAGTATGGAGTTTGTCACCTCAGGAGAAACCAGCAATAAAGCACTGTCTTAGGAACAGAGCTCCAGTTCCTTCCAGACACTGAACCTATCGGTGACATGATTTTGAGTGTTTTTGTTTCTAGAACCATGAGAAACAAATTCTTATTCTTAATATATTTAAGGTGTCAGGATTTTCTTATGGCAGCACAGACTGAACCAAATAGCAATCATTCCCTGAAATGTATTTCAGTTCTTCGGTGAAGTCACTTTGTGCATTGGTTTTTATAATGAGAGTCTCTCTACAAATTGTTGGTGGTCTTGTGTGGAAATCAAAGCTTGAATGAGAAAAATACATTGTCTGAGGCCATGAAGGGGTAAGTGAAGCTATGAAATTGGAGAACCCGTTATTACAATCTAGTTTCCTGAGGCATCACAGTCCATGCTGTGGGACAATGGCCTGTACCCTGTCAATTATATTTTAATAAAATGCTGATTGGTTGGTAGGCAGGCAGGAAGTAGAGGCAGGGCTACGAGAACAGGAGAATCCTGGGAACAGGAAAGAGTCAGTCTGCAGTCGTCTCCCAGACACAGAGAAAGCCAGACACAGAGCAAGCAAGACGTGACTGCCTCGCTGAAAAAAAGGTACCAAGCCATGTAGCTAACACAGGCAAAAATAATGGGCTAATACAAGTTACAAGAGTTAATAAGAAGCCTGAGCTACTAGGCCAACCAGTTTATGATTAATGCAAACTATTTGTTACTAAATGGATGTGGGACCTGGTGGGATGGAAACCCTGGTCAACACTTTGTATCCATCATCTAGTATCAGAGAACAGGATAAAATACAATAAAATAAAAATGGCAATGTCAGAAGAGATGACACAGGAGCAGACAAGTGCAGTCTGCCCTTTTGGGTGCCTCCAACTTTCCTCCAAAGACGTTTATCACAGTTTAAACAAGGTAATATTAATTAACTCACAGCTGATGACCTGGAAGTGGCTGGCATGATTTACCTAATTGTTGACTTATACAGCACAGTCATTGGAGCCTATGAACTTCATTTCCAAGGTTAGAGGCATTACTTCACCTTGTTGATCCCAATCAACTGGTAGTTGTTAGAGACTATGACCTTATTTGTTCTAAGGGTTTTGCAGACATAATTAAAATATGGTTTGAGAAGCAATCATATTGGGTTAGGATGGAAAAGAAGTGTAGCAAAACTGTCTTTGTAGGAAACAGAAAGAAAAAGAACCAGGGATGCAGAAAAGCTGAAAGTAGAAAATGTGATGTACCCCATTATGTAAGCTCACTGAGTGGCAGGGTTGAATTCTTCCCCCAGAGTCTCCTGAATGAGCTGACCTAGGAATACTTTGCTTTTGGACCCTGGAACTCCTGAACAGTGAGACAATATAGTTCCCTTGCTTTAAACCACCCAATATGGGGTCATCTGTTACGACAATCTAGGAAACATTTTTCTCCATGGTTTCCAGTTCTTTACTCTGGGACAGTAATGGTGATCATCATAATAGCAGTAGGATTTTTAGAGAAATCTAATTATGTGCCAAGAACTTTAATTAACTGCCACAAACCCCTGTGAAGTGTCTCTATTATTACCCCCAGCTTTTCACAGTGTGGGAGTAAGGCACAGAAGGCTATGAAATTTGTCCAAGGACACATACAGACTAACTAATAGAACCAGAACTTAAACCTGTTCATCTGGGACCCTGAGCTTCCTCTAACCCCTTCTCATTTGTCCCCTTTGCCTCTCCTCTTCACCTCTGACTTCTTTTCCATCACCTTCTCCTTCATGTGGCCATGGGCACACTGACTGAGGATACAGATTGGAGCAGTGTAAAGAGCAGTGCTGAGCCCGCTCACATCCTGAAGGAGCCCTGGCCATGTACTTCCATGGACAAGCTGGAACTTTTAGGAGGAGTGTATGAGAAGGAAAGGATAAGTAGATAAGCAAATACATAGGCAGGGGACACAGACAGAGCAGCTGCCTGGCAGAGCTAAGACCACAACCCTTGAGGTGTCCAGATATTAGTTACTCACAAGTAATAACACGTTTCAGGATTTCCAGTATAGAATTAATGAGAATGTCTTATATTTTTCAAAACTGAGGCATGTGCCTGCTTGTCTGATTGCTAATGAGAGATACTTTTCATCCTATGTTTCAGAAAACCAGGAAACACCAGAGAGGACATGGGGAGGGTGGATGCCGCAATGTCTGTTTCGAGAACCTCTCTCGAAAATATAACACAATCAGCCATAATCTGATGTTTGGCAGCATAAGATGCAGGTCATTTTTTTGTTATTGAAAAGTAATATCATTTACTTTTTGAGGTTTTTTTAAATATATATATATATATATATATATATATATATATATATATATATAAATGCAATGCGTTTTGGTCAATTCTGATCCCCTATTCCTTCTGTTCCAGTTCTTCCCTGATCTACTGTGCCCTCCCAACTTCATGTTGTTTTTCCCCCATTGAGTTCACTCAGCGATACCAGGAGGTACATGGGTATAACAGAGCCATCTGCTAGAGCCTGGGTCCTCAGGGACCACATCCTTGAAAAGAATGGACTTTGCCCTATCACAACAGTACATGTGGATTGGCACAAAAATGACAAGGTGAAGATAATGAGACTGGTGGTGTAGAAGGTCCTTCTGTTGTTCTTTTTTTTTATTTTTTTTTTAATTTATTTATTTATTAAGGATTTCTGCCTCGTCCCCACAACCGCTTCCCATTTCCCTCCCCCTCCCCCGATCAAGTCCCCCCCCCTCATCTGCTCGAAGAGCAATCAGGGTTCCCTGACCTGTGGGAAGCCCAAGGACTGCCCACCTCTATCCAGGTCTCGTAAGGTGAGCATCCAAGCTGCCTAGGCTCCCACAAAGCCAGTACGTGCAGTAGGATCAAAAACCCACTGCAATTGTTCTTGAATTCTCAGTATTCCTCATTGTCCGCTATGTTCAGCTAGTCCGGATTTATCCCATGTTTTTTCAGACCTAGGCCAGCTGGCCTTGGTGAGATCCCAATAGAACATCCCCATTGTCTTAGTGTGTGGGTGCACCCCTCGTGGTCCTGAGTTCCTAATTCTGCGGGTTAGAGGGTAAAGACTTAACGCGAGGAAGAAGACACAGACACGTGGAGGTCCCACGTGGGTGCACTCTAATGGGGGAGGGGTAACAACCAGGTAAGGGGTGTGCGGACACAATGGGAAAGGCAGGGAGAGAGAAGTGGGGAGAGAGAGAGAGAGAGAGAGAGAGAGAGAGAGAGAGAGAGAGCGGGGTAGTAGGACCCTCGCTTTTTAACGAGGAATACAAAGGCTTCTGGGAATATGTCTGTATCCAGGAGAACGCTGGGAACTGTAGTTCTGCAATTTATTTTGCTTTCATTGGTTAATAAAGAAACTGCTTTGGGCCTGGTGGTAGGGCAGAAGTTAGGTAGGCAGGGAGACAGAACTGAATTCTGGGAGG